GAAGCTAATCCTCTTCAGTAGGATACCGAGTCTCCAACAACTATCACGTTAATAGTTACCTCTGATAGTCAAACTCATCAGATAATGGCCTACCCTGTGATATGACTCTATTCAGACTTCATGGATAGTGCCCCACTAGGTGATGTGCTTTGTCTACCTCTTTTTATTCCCCTGCTAAGTCTTAATCAAGACTGGGGGTTGATTACTTGGAATCCACTGGATTAAGAGTAACGAATCTTTCACATCGTCGAGTTAACATTACACTTCTGACGATCATCATCCCCACAGATGCATTCAGTTTGCATCACTCCTCCAAATTCTTGTCACGTTAACAATACACCTCTGACAAAACCCACTTATCAATCCTCGTCAATAGGATGATAAGTCCCCAAAGTTGCTCCAATTGCAACACAAATCCTGTCACGTTAACACTACACCTCTGACAAAATCAACTTATCGACTCTCTCCAATAGAGCGATAAGTTCTCAAAATTGCTTCCATAGCAATATCTTTCTTGTCACGTTAACACTACACCTCTGACAAAAATCCACTTATCGACTCTCTCCAATAGAGCGATAAGTTCTCAAAATTGCTTCCATAGCAATATCTTTCTTGTCACGTTAACACTACACCTCTGACAAAATCCGCTTATCGACTCTCTTCAATGGAGCGATAGGTCCACAAACTCGTCAAGTTAACACCACACCTCTGACGACCAAATCAACTTATCGACTCTCTTCAATAGAGCGATAGGTCCATAAAATACTGTTATGTTAACATAACACCTCTAACAGTCAACCCCCCAATGAACTTGTTAATTCTTTCGGTGTTTCAAGCTACACAGGAAGAAATGACACCAAAAATCCATGCCTTCACGCATGGGGGACTTTATCTCGATCCCTAATTAGAGATAAGTCTGCATCTAACACATGCTGCCGGGTAGCCTATTCCCGCAATAATAGCAAAGCCTACGTATTCAATATCGTAGCAGGTCGTTATTAATAACGCCAAAATCCATGCCTTACACGCATGGGGAATTTTATCCTGAATCCTAAGTAAGGATAAGTCAATGTCTAACACATGTTGCCGGGTAGCCTATTCCCGTAATAATAGCAAAAGCCTACGTATTCAATATCGTAGCACCAAAATCCATGCCTTACACGCATGGGGAATTTTATCCTGAATCCTAAGTAGGGATAAGTCAATGTCTAACACACGTTGCCGGTTAGTCTTTTACCGTGAAAAGGACATCAAAATCCATGCCTCACACGCATGGGGGACTTTATCTCGATCCCTAAATAGAGATAAGTCTACGCCTAACACGCGTTGCCGGTTAGTCTTTTCCCGTCAAAATGACAAAGTCTATGTATTCAAAATCATAGCATCAAGACTAAGAGAGTTCATTCTCTTAGCACAACGTTACATGTGGAACGGACCTAGATAATTCACATGCTAGCCCGACTCAAACGGTAGTCGGTAAAGGCTTATCAAATCCGTTGATGGCTGAGGGTTTGCCAAAAATCCTATGCACGTTTGCAGGTCCATCAGCTTAATGGATGTGAGCCGAGACTTAAGACAGATGCGCCAAAGACAAGTCTCAAAGACTTAGTCAAAAATGCACGGAAGCCACTCCCATGTCTTAAGTCAAAACGTTGAGGTCAGACCCGCGATGCAAAAACCGAACGCCGAGGATACACTCGCATTCCAAATTCAACATGCAAAGGTGAAACCCGCATCTCAAGTTCAAAATGCAGGGTCCACTCCCACATTCCAGAAGCAGGATTATGGCGCATACCTTCACGCAGGTCCTGCATGGAAAATCCCTTCAACCAAGCTGCCTTCGAAGCGAGTGCAGAGAACTACTCCTTTGTGACAGCTCCAAGATCAGAGTGAGATCCAAAGTATTCCAAAAATTCGTCCCAGTCAACTGCGAACTTTCGAAAACTTTGGAGGGGGTTCTGTAGGCTGTCTAAAAATCACAATAGATAGTTAATCCCCCATCAAATACCGATGATGGAAGTTACAATCTACCGACTTCCAGAAGGCTACAATTTGAGGACTTTCACGTAGAAGGTTACAATCTGACGACCTTCACAACAACTAATGAATGCCCTAATTCAACAGCCTTCACAATCAAGATCGGGAGTTACAATCTGACGACTCTCATATTTTCAAGGAGCCAAGACGAAGATTACAAGAGGACGATCTGTGCAAAGCTCTAGCAAAAGAGACTACAAATTGACGGTCTCTTCATATTGGAATGCAGATATCTCTCAAACCGTAAGGAATTTGGCGAAACGGAGGAAGCGAACCGAAGCCTTCGGCTAGGTTCGGATGGCCCCGTCTCGTCGAGATAGCCGATTTTCATATATAATTCGTCTAATTCCGACTTACGGTTTGAAAGTTATGACCTGTTCTTCGCAGCAAATTATGTTCTGAGGTCCGTCTGCAAGACTGGACTTCATCAGAACATTGGACTTAGCCTGAAGCCCGCCAAGCCCGCCTAAGGTTCGCCTCTGCATTACAGAGTCAAAGCGCACATGCTCAACTCTGCGTTTTCAACATCAAAACGCAGAGTTAATCGCTAAAATAGCATAACTGTGCGTTTTCAGCCGTTAACAGGCTCAACTCTGCGTTTTCAACATCAAAACGCAGAGTTAACCTCTAAAACAACACGAACTGTGCGTTTTCAGCCGTTAACAGGATCAACTCTGCGTTTTCAACATCAAAACGCAGAGTTAATCTCTAAAATAGCACAACTGTGCGTTTTCAGCCTAAAACAGGCTTAACTCTGCGTTTTCCAGCAGACATCTAACTCTGTGACGCAGAGTTAAAGCACAAACGCACACATAACGTGCGTTCTTCAACAAACTCAACCATGCGTCCCAAACTCATGATGCAGAGTTGAATTTCAACGCACAAGCTACCTGTATGTCTCCAATTCCAGAACGCATGCGGCCTGTGCGTTTCAAACCTTTGACAAAGGTTTAACTCTGCGTCTCAGGCCTTAGACGCAGAGTTAAGGCCCAGAACGCCGTTTTTAGCGTTTGACTCGTTCAAGCACGCAATGAACAGTTCCAGGAACTGTTTTTCCCCACGATTTGAGGGATTTTCGCCCCACTTAAGAGCGGATTAAGGGGGTAGTTACCACCCTAAATCCCCTATAAATAGTAGGAAACTCAACTGAGTTCAGATGCTTCTTTTTTGGGCAGCAAAGAAGCGATCTGCGGCTTTTTTGGCTTTTTTGGCTCTGGGCTCTGGGATCCTTCTTTTTGGGCAGCAAGGGGGAGATCGACGTTCATCCCCAGCAACGATCGACCACAGGAGCATTCCCTTGGCTTATTAACCGAACTTTCGGTTCAAATCAACTCTTTTTCAAGAGTTCAAACTCGTTCAGAGTTATCAACTCGATCAGAGTTCAAAACTTGCTCTGCAAGTTCTTCTAAAACTCGTTCAGAGTTATCAACTCAATCAGAGTTCAAAACTTGCTCTGCAAGTTCTTCTAAAACTCGTTCAGAGTTATCAACTCGTCAAGAGTTATTTTCCAAAACTTGCCACGCAAGTTCTCCACAGCGTCAAATCGTGAGGAGAAAATCACGTTCCAGTGAATCAAGACGTTCGGATCGTCAACGAGAAGCAAACTCGACGCGAGCATTCGAGGGAGGCATCTCATCGCCACTGTGAAGAACCCAGAATTAAACAAAGGGGAGAATCAAATTCATTCTTCTCTCTTTTGTAATCGGAATCCAAATTGTAATTGATTTTGAGAGGAATACAAGTCAAATTTTTCTTTCATTGTCTTTTTACTGCAAATTTCCAACAAACAGTTACTAGATCTTTGATAAATTGGTCAATTTAGGGGTTTGATATTGGGATTTCAATTGATGGATTTTATTGTTGTTAAAAAAAATTTAAATTCCTAACTCATGAATTTTAGTTAATATACTATATTTTATTGTTGATTTTAAATGAGTTTATGGGAGTTTGTTTTAATTACAGAAGTAGTAATTTTCTTGTATATGATGTGAAGAATAGCTCAAACTTTTTTAAAAGTAATTTTTAGTATTTTTTTTTAAAAGTATCTTTGTAGCTTAATGTGGTATATATGATGAAAGTTTCGATGAGAAATACTACGAAAGTTCTTATTGTAATTTGGTATTCGGGATATTAAGTAGTTTTTTTTACAAGTTATTCCAAGAAAGATTATACCTACATATTGGAAGAGAGTTGTTGCTTCATATTATCATTGTAAATTATAGATTCATGACTCTATGGTCATTCTTGTCAATGCACTTTGTATATTGATAGAATTGGCTATGGACAATGGTATTGAGGTTGTGATTCATTGTAAATAATGGTAAGTGTACTTAAATTTATTATCGCCTCATTGAAGTCCAAGCTTTCATTTGTTTGGCGAGTCTAATAGGTATAGGAATACTATTATTTGTTGGTATAAGATTTCACCCTTAGAACTTGTTAATATTATGAAATAGTTTTAATTATTTCTAAATGTTTAAGTAATGTTTTGTAAGCACTTAAAAGTAATTTGAACATGGTGCATTTCTTAGTTGTTGCGCTCTTTTTGTTTTGTGGATAAAATATGATGAAAGTTTGGATGAGAAGTACTAAGAAAGTTCCAATTGGAGTTTGGTATTGGTTAATTATGTACTTTTTAAAAAAATAATTTGCATATCCAATTAATTTCTACGACTTGAATACGGTGCATTTCTTAGTTGGTAAATTGTATGGTTGTTTATACGATGTAATGGCTATCGTATCTTGATAAATGCATGATTTTGTTTGTTTTAATAATGTTAATACCTACTTTAATATGATGCTAGTATTATAGATGGATGATGGCCTTGATGAAGAGACTGTAATTGACATGTGCTCGGGTGTCGCACTCTCTATTTTAGTCATGATTATGACATTTTATGAGGAGAATGAAAAGTAGATGTAGGTCCATTCGCCAGGGTCCTAGTGAGGAGAAAAAAAATCACATGGATCAGACATATAATGGATTCAGTGATAGCTATGTCAACTATGTTAGAATGCGCAGTGGTGCTTTTATGAAGCTTGCAAAATGTATGAGGAGGGGTGATGTATTACGAGACTCGAGACACGTTACAGTAGAGGAGCAGCTTGCTATGACTTTTAATATATTGGGGCATAAAACTAAAAATCGAATTGTTAGGTCATATTTTATTAGATCTGGTGAGACTGTAAGTAGATATTTTAACAACTTATTAGAAGCAATTTGCCACATACGTCCGCACTTCTTGAGACATGCACGAAATGAAGTTTTGCCAGAGATCATGAACAATCCTTTATACTACCCTTATGTTAAGGTATACACTCTATACTTTGTGAATATCTCCATTACTTGTTTAATTTAATACAGATATTCACTAGTAATATTTTATACTATAGGATTGTATCAGTATGATAGATGGAACACGTATTGATGCTATGTTACCCGCCCATCTTGCTCCATGATTCTGTGGTCGCAAAGGAGTCACAAAAAATATTCTAGTGGCGTGTACTCCAAACAAGCTATTCACCTACGTATTAGCGGGTTAGGAAGATTCTGCAAATGACTTTAGAGTCCTTCAAGATGCATTATCTAGACCACATCCTCATGGCCTGAGAGTATATGATGGTAATTTCATTAAAATTTCAAATCCTACATATTTACTTCAGCAATAAGATTGATATCCAATGCAATGTTAAAAATACTAATAAACAATTTTATATCATGAAAATTATAGGAAAATATTATTTGTATGATGATGGATACACGACCATGCCTGGCTTTATCTCCCCATATCGTGGTGTCTGTTACCATTTGAAGGAACAAATAGGAAGAACACCCAAAAATAGAAGGGAATTATTCAATCTTAGACATTCTTCATTAAGGTCTAAGATTGAATCTACATTTGGTTGTTTGAAGAATCGTTTCAAGATTCTCACTGCTAAGCCTCATTACTTCATGCACAAGTTGATATTGTATTGGCATGCGTGGTTCTTCACAATTACATTGTAATGGTTGACCCGGATGATGAGATATTCAATAATACAGTTGACATTGAAGAGGTTAAATGTGATATTGCGGGCAAAGAAAAAAAATAATATTGTCAATTTTTCTCAACCTCAAACTCAAAGGGAGCAAACTCAATCAAGAAATCTATGGAAGGATCGTAGAGATCAAATAGTTTGGGAGATATAGGTTGACTATTGTGAAAAGTATAAGGATGGGAATATCAATAAAATTGGTATGTGAATTTGCTTGACTTTGTAGTGATGGTTTGTTAGGAAAATTGGCTTGTGTAAATTTTCTATTATCAACAACATTATTTTATAAGCAAGTTTGTAAAACTATTTAATCTTCATATGTAATATTTGTGTGATGACCTATATATGTTGTATGTACTTTAATTCTATTATGTTTCAGTTACTTTACTTTGTTTTATGTGTGGTGAATTAGCTTAACTTTGTTTGGTGTACTTTTATCAAATTATTTTTAGGTATGTCCGACAACTTTAGTTGTGAGAAACTTGATAAGGGTAAGGAAAAAACACGGCATCAACTCCATCCCCTAGGACCCCAAGAAATTCATCAATCCCTTGTGGGTTCAACCTGGGATATATGCCCTATCATTCTTCACAAGTTGGTCAATGTCCTAATTCATGGAACAATTTTAAAATGCAAGATGGTAACTTTTGGGTAATGACCTAGCAACCACCAATTTCATTAATGAACATGTTAAATGCTCTTATCTTGCAACATCCAAGTTTTAGCATGGGTGAAACCCCATCCCCTAATTAACAATGTCAAAGAAACAAGAAGAATGCTATTGATGTTGAGGATGATGAAAGTACATCCCCCAACCCAAAGAGGAAAAAAAAGTTCTTGCTAATAAAAATAAAATTAAGACTACAAGCACGGGGAGTGCTAACCAATTATGAGAGAGCAAATATGATGATGTGCTAATTCCTTTCCTTGCAAACTATATCAACCAATGGATGAAAGCCGATAAAAAGTTCAAGAAGACTGCTTATCATTCGGCCGTCATTGAGATCAATAAACAGTTTGGCTCAGGATTTACTAGAAAAAAATATGGACAACCATATGAAAACTTGTCGTAATAGGTATTTTGACATGCAAAAATGCTATAATTTGAGCGGTGTGGGTTGGGATGATGTGAATGAATAAACAATTTACTATGGATGAAGATTGCTTTGATAGATGGCTTGAGGTAGAAAAAAAATTAACATTTTTTATTTGAATGAAACATATTATTTTATTTTTGAATAAGTTTAGAGTTAATATATATCCTTAACTTTGCAGAACAAAAGTATTCCTAGTTCTAAGCTTAGGGAATACATCAACAACCTTATGAAACATTTTAAAAATCTTGTAATTATTATCGAAAATGATCAAGCAAGAGGAGACAAATTCGGTGGTAGTTTACATTTTAGTATTGATGCAAATGATGATGATATCGCAACGCATAGAGAGAACACTCGTAGCTATGTATCGTTAGATGACAAGAGGTTAATATGCATGGGGCAGAGAAGTTGGGCAAAGCTATATTTACACACAAAGCGGACTTTAGCTTGGAAGTTCTTGATAAGTTTTATCAAGAATTGCATGAAAAAGAATCACGTGCTAGGCCATTTATAGGGCGGTCATCTGTCATGCAAAAGAAGGTGTTGAAGGATTTCATGTAGAGTCGACAGTGAATTTGACCGAAGGATGATTTTGAGATGTTTTTGTATATCTAATTGTCTGCAATAACGTTTATTTTTTTTTGTATGTAAATGGGCTTAATGAATGCTCATTCTTTTGGCTACAACAATGTTAATTTGCTTATTTTTGTATGTAAATGAGCTTGATGAATGCTCATTCTTTTGGCTAGATTTCCTAATTCATGTGTAATATTGTGTTCATGACACTAAATGTGATTGATGTATGAAACCATCTTTATAATTGACATGAGAACTTGTGATGACTATTTAATTTTTACTCTTTAATATTTTTAGTTGTTTGATACATGTATAATTAATTGATTGGTTGTAATTATCAAAATTTGGTCTTCGATTGTTGACATATTTCTCGTGCAATGTAGATTGGGAATGCACCATGCAGCCCGGGCCCGATAGTGATGAGGTCCTCTATGATCAATCTCGGCACCGTTCTCAGAAAATATCATTTTCGGAGGTAACTGATTTGTTAAATACAAGTAAACTATTATCTCCATTACTATTTCATTTGCGTCTAATAATATATTGAATAATTATGTAGAGAGGACCGGAGTTAGTCATGTTTAATCATAGCCTAGGTCATTCTCGATGGACACTTGATGATGAGCGTATGATCGCCATAGTAGCACAAGCTGGTTTTCTTACATGATCGAAGCTAAGATGGATGAAATTAGATTGGCCGCTTATTACTGCTTTGATAGATAGATGGAGGCCAAAGATAAACACAATCCACCTGCACCTCGGAGAGTCGACCATTACTCTTCAAGACGTATCAGTCATACTAGATATTCGCATTGATGGTCCGTGTGTTATAGGCATAGATAACCGTGCATGGCGAAAAGTATGTGATGATTTGTTAGGAGCAACTCCACCCTCGTTGACCGGAGGGTATATGAGACTGAAGTGGTTGAAGGAGAATTTCTCGCACCTGCTGTTAGCTGATGCAACACAAGAGGTGATTGAGCGCCATACACATGCTTATATTTTGCACATGACTGGGACAATTCTTTTTCCTGATTCCAGTAAAGATAAAATACATTTGAGGTATGTGAATTAATTGTTTTAAAATTTTATATAATCACATTGGAGACTTGACCTTATCTTTGACTATTTTTTTAAATGTGCCTAGGTGGTTATCAATCATTGAGGACTTAGACATTTGCGGCACACTATCATGGGGTAGTGCTGTTTTAGCATACCTGTATTGAGAAATGTAAAAGGTGGCTTTAATGCAAAATAAAGAGCTGAAGGGATGTCTTTCTTTATTGCAAGTTTGGGGGGTGGGAGAGACTTGTTCTAAGAACGAGATTATGCGAGACTTGAGTTTTAGATGGACATATACCGCTTGGGTGTAGGTAGACACATCTGAATCTAGCCAATGCATTAATATTTTCCAATTATATTCGTGAATTATTTGAACCTTGAATAAGTTTGAAATCTATACAGATGAAACGTCCAGAAATGTTATGACCAGACCCCAGCAAGATAGTTGGACTTTTACAAAAATGAGCTTGATCGGATAAAGATTTTCCAGGTTTTTGAATTTAACTTCAAGAATATTCAATCTTATAAGGAACTAACACAAATCTAATTTATGAAATACTAATGCATGTAATGTTATTTAGTTCTCCTAGGAGCCATATGATACGCTTCCACAACTACCACTAATCTGCACGGAAGGTCAAGGAATATGGAGAGTAAGAGTTCCACTAATATGCTTTGAAATAGTAGAGATGCATGTGTCGGATCGTGTGCTTAGACAATTTGGAATACCGCAACACATTCCAGAAGAAGTTCAAAAAGTAGAGAGAAATATCATGAAATGAGGTCATCATATAGACTGGGCAAATACTCATGTGCGATATATAGAGAAATGGAATGATCACCATTTCTGTATCGTACAACCACTTGATCCTCCTCTTCAGGAGTCGGCTTATATTACATGGTATTGGAGGATTACTCAAAGATGGATTATAAATGAGACCGGTCCTCCACTAGATGATGATCAACAACGTGCCCTACAAAAGAGATACATGCCCGGGGGGTTAGATGAGAGAGAATTTGTAAGTTATTTGGATGGTAAGCTCATCACTTGTTTCGTATTGTTAAAATTATTTAAGTATTCCAATTTTTGTCTTGCATGCAAATAAATGCTTTTGATGATATTGAGGCTATTGCAAACGAGGGTCCGACACAATCAGGAAGAGATCCATCGTGACCACTATTCAAAAAGATATTGCAGAGAATTCGTAGAGGTATGAATTGAACTCACGAGGATCTTCATGATGGTCGGGAGGTAATGGTTCAACCAAGTCAACGGAGATGACAAGGATCTTGTAGGAATGATGATGAGGCTAGTCCTTCACAACAAGTTAGTGCTACATCTCAAACACACACATACCCCCAACCAGACAATGAACTCATGTAACATCAACCTCCTAAAGGACGACGAAGATCTTCTCGGGTGACTGGAGCAAGACAAAGGCGGCTGAGATGATTTCTAGGTTATGTTTGTGGATTGATTACAATTTAGAGCTATATTTGTTGTTTCACATATCTTAGAAGAGATTATGTAGGTCCAGCTAGTAAAATATCGTTCTTGGCTTAGATATTAGAATTGATGATGAGGGGATGACATTAGAATACTTGACTCCTATGATTGTGATGATATGTAGTTTTTTGATACTATAACTTTTTGATTTTGTTTATTTTGTTTTGCTCATGTATTTATTTGACATTTCTGCTGATTTGTGTGTTCGTGATGATATAGAATGCTTTGAGAATTCATTTATCTATCAGGATAGGAATTGTGATATGGGATTTTAATTTGATATTTTTTGATGTGACTCTGCTGCCTTAGTTCAGGCAAAGGGTTATGAGAACAACGAGACAGGACCAAAAGCAAAAAAGGTATGGGCATGAGATTATTCTTTTTCGCTCTTAAGTGATGCCTTTTTCATTTTTATTATTTTCTATGTGTTGCATGTCATTTTATGGAGCTCTTTTTCACATAAATTTCATCATTTTGATTATCATTGTGATTTAGTTGATACATTGTCGCATTGGAGGCTTAACACTTGACAGGAAGGGGAAAAAAAAGCCGTGGGAGGCTTATTTCTCTGCCTTGCTGTGGTGTATCTGGATTAACAGAAACTCTCGAATCTTTCTACACTAGTTTGTAAGCACTCTCTAGAGCTCAGAGGACCGCTACTATGACCCAGTCAAGACATGCGACGACTAGCGGTAGCGCAGGCTGCCCAAATATCATGGATTGAAGCAGCTGATATGGACAGAGTCTTTTGCTCTTGTATAAACACTGAATGTCAAGACTTTTTATGCTCTTTTCAGTAGTTGTAGTAGCTTTAACTTTTGGATGATGTACTGGTGATTTTATGCTTATGTCTACAGCTTAGAGCTGGAGGTAGAATATTTCTCTTTTGCAAAGTAATACAATGACATGGGTGGAGTTTTTAGGAAATCCATGGGACTACTAGTCCCATGGATTATATTTCTGCAAAATCTACGAGACTAGTGGTCCCGTTTACTGTTTGTGCACATTTTTGCGCACGCCCAGCAAGTCAACGGGACTAATAGTCCCGTAGATTTTGTTTCTACAAAATCTACGGGACTTGATGTCCCATGAACTCTAAATTTTGGAGATTATCTTCTTAAAAAGCCCCTCAACTTCACAAATATTGATGTCAGTCAGTCATTATCAAATTATTTGCACTTATTTCCTCAAATCCTTTCAATTTTTTTTTAAAAAATTACTACATCAAACTTAATATTAATCTATCAAATCTTTAGAGATTTTTGAATTACCCTCCTAAATTTCTATAATTAGTTGAAAGTAGTCACTAAAATATCTAAATATATTACAAATTACCCCCTTAAATTTAAAAGTAGACCCCCAAATCTTTAAACATTCAATTTCCTCTCTCAAATGTTTATATTTTGAATTTAGTCTCTCAAGTAGACCCCCAAATCTTTAAACATTCAATTTCCTTAAGCTGTTTGGTTGTTGTTGGTAAAGTTGTGTATTTATGACACAACTTGGAAAATTGTTGTCCACCTCATCAATTTTACTTTTATATTTTTCTTTGTTTGTTTTTGATTCCATTGGAATCATAAATTGCTTGTTTGGTTTGTAAATGTAACTTTAATTGTTTATTTGGAAAGTGTAAAAAGTGGTCCCTACTCAAATGATCATATTGGTTGGAATTATTTTTTATTATTTTTTCCTGACTTTAATGTCAGCTTTCTCCTAAAATCATGTCTTTTTTTATGAAATCACTTTACAGCGATGGGAGGGGGGGGGGGGTGGTTGGTGGTGTGTTAGGGGGTGTGCCCCTAACATTATTTTTTTAGTGTAGAAGCTTTGCTTTTGGCATTCGGTCATGCCAGCCCGTTTCTCACACGCATGGTTTCTAAATTCCTTGTGAAGTTTGTTGAGGTTGACAGCCATGGGGTGTGTTTCATCTAGATTTGTTGCTCTTTAGACTTTTTATTATGTTTTCTCTTCTTTTTTGTACTGGAAAAAAATATCCCAAAGTTAAAAGGAGTTTTTTTAATAAAATCTTAAAGTTAAAGAGGTTTTCTAATAATCCCTAACTTAAGGGAGGATTCTGATATTCGAAAACTTAGAGCGTTGTTTGATAATTGTCTAAAATTAAGCCAAAATTAAACTATCAAAATGCAAATGTCTATTTATAAGATCTGGAAGTAGTCCCCAACTCAAGGGGCAAAACAAAATCTCAACCCGAATTCAAATCGATATCAGATTTCCATATCGAACTAGTATTTTAACCCGTGTGATGCACGTATTAGTGTTTTTATTGATGCATATTATGCGTAGTACGTATACATCTGTGTGTAATTTGTGCTTTTTTGTTTAACTAGTATAATACACGTGCTTTGCACGTAAACGTACAAAATTTTTATTCAATAATAAAACTATGTGTTAATAAATAAAATTTTACAATAAGATTGCTTAAAAAGAAATGTACGAATTAGTTATTATTGTGTAGTTATTACAATTGAATAATTTTCTTTCAATGATTGCCCGGTGTTAACCTTTTTTAAAAAAAGTCCCCAAACCTAAAAGTGTTCTTAAGTAAAACTCACAATTCTATAAGTTCTCTTACATATGCTCTTCCAACTTAAAAGTTGTTAAATTAACTCTAAATTAACTAGACTGCATTAATCTTGCTAGCTTTTCCTAATGTTTCCTAAATAGTTACACTTGATACCTGTAATATATTGTTGGCCTTCTTGTTTTGATGATGTTTAACAAACAATTTACCACTAATATTGTTTGTCTAGTATTTGTATTTTCTTATTTATTATAGACAAACAACGTCGTTGGAGGTTGGATGGATTGCGCCATAACGATCATATCAAATGGAGGTTGGCGGAATTATGGAGTGAAGCATCGTACAATTCAAGTTCAAGATCCAAGTTTAGCTTCATCCGCAACGTGTACCAAGTTGAGCTACAATGAAGATCAAGACCAAGCTTGGGTAATCTAGTTTAGATTTTATATTATGTGTGTTAGATACTCTAAGCTCAATATCATACACACACACATTTATTGGTTTCTTCGTATATATATATATATATATAGTTATATATATATACATAAGTTTTGGTTTCTATGCATATATATAGTTATATATATATATATATACATGTGTTTTTGAGTTTTCATGTTTATAAATATGAAATCATATATTTCATATTTATTATTGTGTTTTAGTATATATTGCATAGAATATGCAATTTTGTGAAAATATTGTTTTCTTAGTTTTTGGACTTAACAATAATCATATACATGTTTTACTAAGTCTATAAAAACATTTCACAAAGTTTCAAAAGTTGGTTTATGTCAAAACATCAAAATTCAAGTATCTCATATTTTCATGTTTTGAACTATTTTGCAAAATGATGATTTTTCACAAATGGGAAATGCAATTTAAAAAATTCTTTTTGTAACATGTTTGTTTTCATGTTTATATACATTTCCCAAAGTTTCATTATTTTTGGACTTCATTTGTTATTTTTAACAATTTTCCAAAGTCTCAAAAATCAGCTTTTAAAAACCTGTTTTACTGTGTATCAGATTTCGGTCGACCACACCGGTCGACCGCTCATATGTTTATTCATCAGTGGGCAGCAGAAAGTTTGTCGGTCAACTGGTGCGGTCGACCGA